TTGAAGTCCTTGTACAAATATTAATACATGCATAGAATTTTTTTTTTAATGTATCATTTATTTGAATGTACTTACCTGCCAATCAACTATAACGTGTATCGCTGTATCAAATTAGATAGGTATCAAAATTACTATCCTCAAACTCAATGTTCCAAACTTGAAATATGTATAGGTGCAAACCGAGGCAAACCAAACACATATATTAGAATGAAAAATATACACTGAACATATAACATAAAAAACATGACGTGTACTCGAGTCTAAACAAATATGTCGCGAACATATGGAAATCTTTTTAAAACGAACGGCTGCACAATGTAGTATCGCATCTCGTTATCAATCAGCTATCTAATATTTCTTCAGATCTGAAGGATAATAAGTGAATACTTTTTTCGGCTCCTTTTTTAAAAAGCACAGTAATTTCGCAGACTGCTAACTTAAAATAGTATCCGACATAAATGTATTGAATCAGCTGCTATCAAATCTGCAGAACTTTGTGGCTTGTAATTTAAGTGATCGATGGGCCGTAACAATAATTATATGAAACGCGACAGGAAAATCGTTATTTTACACGCGCGTGTTAATAGTCAATTAGACAGATTACTATCATCACAGCAATATTTTGGGCACTTACAAATCGCTTTGCCACCAAAACACGCATGCCACTTATGAGAATTGTGTCCAACAAAAAATATAATTATCATAATTAAATATTATCGTCGGGCACTGTAAATTAATGATATGATTGAATAACGATTACTTAACTGATGAGCAAATACTATCGGCATGATAAATGTTGTTGTTCATATCGATTTCATATTATACATGGGTCAGGTGGAGGTTTCGGTTTTTCACCAAAAGTAAGTCTTTGCTTGATTCTCACCCGTTATCGCCAAGTTCATTTTCCGATACTTTTTTAGAATTCATTATTATTATTATTACATCGAGGTCGGAACCTTCAGTCAGTCGATCGCACTACATTAGCGAAAAAATTACTGCTTACTAATTAACAATATGATTTAGTCATGTACTTTTTGTGTAAGTAATTATATTTTATATTTATTTCTACTCTAAATTAGTGATCTTGATTATGAAACAGAGACTATACGAGTGATGTGTGTAGTGAGGCATAATCTTTGCAATTTGAAGGATTTAAAAAATATAAGTTATTAGGTTAAAATATGCCCAATGTAAGGTGTTCAGTAAATTAGATACCTATCCAACTTTCAACCAATCAATTACGTTATTTTATTTTAAAAATTATAAAATTTGCAATACTATTATATTATATTACATTAGTATCAACATCATTTTAACGAAAAACCTTACTAAAAAAATTATTGATGCAATAACTTTATTTTTCGTAACATAATATTATAAACATAACAAACATCGACTTTGAATATTTAGTTATTTTTAACTTATTTTTTTTTTAACTGTAATGCGTGGTTTGACCCGCTACTGCACCTTCTAGTTTGTAGTACCTACAGATAAATATGTTAAAAATAAATAAGTTAAATTAAGAAGTTCTCATTAAATTACCGGATAGATAATATTATATTATATTGAATGAATAATGCAATTGCCGATATCAAAATAAAACTTATTACATTTTACTCAAAAACTATTTTAGTTTTTGTCTCAAATTACCATACACAAAAAAAATTATACCATTTGCGCAGTCTGCTGTCCAAACAGTTATACTTAGAAGACTACTATACACACACTCAATATATAGTATCACACCGCTTAAAAACAAACTGGGTTTTCGCTTCGTTTAAAATATACATTTGGAAATAGTCGATAGATACTTATATAGTATATCGTTGATTGAAATTGATTGCTCGTTAAACTAAATATTACAATAAATGCATAATGATGTACCAGAAAAAGACCTCAGCCAAATCGAATTTCATGAAATTTCACAAACCTTAATGTTTAGTGGCTAAATTATATGATTTGCTCCAATGTGCTTAGGACGAAAATTATGCTTAATGTCCCCTTCACAATATTTTTCCTCTGTTTATTGTCGTTTTACTGCATGTTATCATAGGATTTACGTTTATAAAATACGGTCGGTCTTGGGGATGAAATTGCGTCTCGAGAGATGATTAATTCGTCCTGACATTTCGAACAGTTATTCGTCGTCGCTGCCGTTTCTCGCAAGTTTCTCCGAGAAATGATTCATCGCCCCCTCCCTTCTTCCTTAATCCAATTTTTATCCCGCCAAAATATTTTTATTCTCCAGGAAGCCGCCTCCATCGCCACAGCTTGCGTACGATTAATGGTCGGAAGAGATGGTTTTAATTAAATTACACTGTCTAGTCCCTTCTACGAAGGCGAGGATTTTTCCTCACTCTGTCAAAAGTTACACTACTATGTAGCTTAACCAATTTCATAGTGTTAAACGTCCCACCGACACCGTCATTGTTTACAAGATTACCGCTCGTAAAATGTTTTATTCAATTTATTTTAATTTTGATTGATTTTTATTTTTTTATTAATCAAATGTAATTTTCTCTTTATTAATGTATTATTTATTTGATTATATTTACAAACAATATATACCTAATAGTATACTTTTCTAATTTTATGAACATTGATCAAGAAATTGACACTAAAACTTCGACTTAGTCTATTCCATCGTAAATATCTTTCTTTTATTATAATTTTAACATCCTTGAAGTGTTTGTATTTTTTTTTTTATATTGTTACTATTTTATTGTTAAACAGTGTTATATTATTCAAACTAATTCACTCCACATCGCATAAGCCTATTTCATTTAGATAAATATATTGCTATACAATAAAAATATAATATATGTAGATACACGCCAAACTCAATGTAATAAATAATAATGCATTCATATTTTTTGCTTATTGTATTTCATTGCAAATACCTTGTAATACCATTACGTCAATAGTCTTATCAAATCTTGTGATAACCTAAAAATCGTTATGGTTACTGACAGTTTCTTCCTGTTAAATACAGAATTGCAATAATTAATCATGACTAGATTAGAAAAGACGTATTGGGATAATCCGATAATAGTAACCTTTAAATATAAATAGTTCACTATCATTGTATAATTTTATAACTGATATTTCGAATATTTTTATGTAATATATATATATATTATAGGCACCTACCTATAGAAATGAACTTAAAAATGTATCTATTAAAAAAATTCTTCTAAATTATTTAATGGACTTCTAGTTGAACACATAAAACGACAATTGTTTTTCTTTATTACATTCAATCAAATGCATTAGATGTTATTTATTTAAAGCAATATTTTCAAACTACTTGTGCCTAAAGGGGTACCTACATGGAATAAAAAGTAAAGTTTTTTTCAAACAAAAATTTGCATTTTACCGAAATTCCGTAAATGTTTATGTATAAACGTAAATAAAAATATCCAATATTGTCTTGACAGGTTAAATACATGGATCTATAGTTAAATTTATAAATTTGTATTTTGTTTTATTTAATGTAAGCTAAAATTAAATCCTAAAAACCTAACTTAATTTAAGGAAAATATACATCCGAACATAAGATACTTAACTTATAAATATTATTTTGGTAAGGAAATGTATAACTATGTAAAGTAATTATTTATTTTTCATCATTTTTGTTATTCTTGTCATTAAATAATTGATGTCGAATAATGAGGATCAGTAACTATAATGTAGTGTCTGGATATAGATCTAAGTATTTGTCCAACATTAGAGCTACATTAATTGTTTTATCTGCATTTCTAAATTGATTAGCCAAACCCTCGATTAGTTCCATAATAACTCCTTTAACTTTTAAATTTGCAAACGTTGAAATAAACAAGCTGAATTTCATAGGCTCTAAATTTCCATCGTTTTTCATTTTTAGCAACACGTGACTATAATAAAAATAAATGAATAAAATTAACTTGAATACAATTGAATTTTACTCTTTAGTTTCGAAATTCATACTTAAATTATAAATAATTCAGTACAACTAGATTATACGCTTACTATGAAAATATAAAAACATTAAAAGATAATGGTTATTATCATTGAGAATACGTTAATTATCAAAAATGTATTATAACTTACAAGTTATAACTAACAATTTATACTGAATTGTACTAATTATTAAGTTGAATCAATGTTGTAAAATGGTAAGTGATTTGATTGATATACACATAAATTTTATATTTTTAGTGAATGTCATGAAAAACTTACCCAATATCAAATTTTCGCTTTTTTTTTTTTGGTTTAGTAACCCCCAAAAAGTGAATTCTTTGTAAATACAATGTTTTTTTATCGAAAACCGGATCAGATTTCATGTCCGTATAAATGGCCACTTTAACACTAATATTTGGTACTCGTGATTGAGCTTTTGATATTGCCTACAGTAAGCAAAATACTTTTTTTAAAACTTATTACGAATAACATGCATTTATTTTGATTTAATTACTGTTTCAACTTGTTCATCGACAAATACATGGCTTATACCCAAACTCCTTAATGAAGTGGGATTCACTATACCACTCAATATATCAACAATATCTTCATTTGTAAGCGGATTGTTGCTTAGATCCAAATGCTCTAATCTGGTTGTAAGATTTATTCCTTGACCTAATATTTTACCAACATCACTGAAACTACAAAATAATTTTAATTGCCATTTTTTATCTAATTTTTTAATAAATAAAATGTAACTCGTATTAATCAAAGTGATTGTTATAACTGTGTTATACATTTCAATATTCACTTATTCCAACTAAGATCCAATTTTTTTAAACTTTTCGATTTAATCATAAGGTTTCTAAATATGTTTGCGCAAACTTCACCAGATATTCCATTCCAATCCAAACTTAACACTTGTAAGGTTTCGTTTGAATCTCCTATAGCTTTCGTAAGAGCTGACAAGGCTTTAAGAAAATGAAAAATGCTTATATAATTAATAATCATAATATTAAGTATATATATTATTATTATTGCATAATGTGTGTCTAACCAGTTTCTTTATTCAAAAAATTTCCAGACAAATTTAATTTTTGCAGTCTATCGTTAGTGTCTAAAAAAGAAATTATGTTGTGGACGCATTCACCTCTTATGCTGTTGTTACTTAGGTTTAATTCCTAATAATAAATTGAGTGTTTAACACTTTTTTTATGTATGAAAGAAAATCAATCACTTGAATGTATGTATTTGTTGGTATATTCATTTCTGATGCTTTCAACAGTTTTTGAAGACAAGCACAGTCTGTAATATCATTAAAGCTCAGATCTATTGTTATAGGTACTGCGATACCGTCTTCTTGGTCAGTAGTCTGGTCAGTAGCTCCAGTTGAATCTGTCGATTAAAAATAAATTGTTTAAACAAACTAGAAGGTACTTAAGCTAATATTATACTCTGTCTGTTTAATGTGAAATTGTATCTTAAAAATAATATAATATAATAAATATTTAATGAACAAAAATTGTAATTTATTATTCAAAACCAAATTAACGGAAACACAGTCAGACATCAATTATGACAAATATTTTATATAGTCACATTTAGAAGACTTTTTACCAATAATATTAGCAGTAGCACTAATATCACGATCTCTTAGTTTTAGAAACATGCCGTTTCCATATTCTGCTATTTCTTGATTACTGTGATCTATTGTAAATATTTCTGAACTATAATTGGTCTGTACACTTGTATCAGATTCGTCCATGTTAAAATCAAAATTTAGAATTTAGACTAGGTGTTTGGAAAAAATTATATGACTTATAAATATAATAAAAAATATAATAATATTTTAATACCACGCTGTTGTCGAGGTTGTTATAGTAACACGCCGTCAATTGTCCCTAATTGTACTCCTGAATTATAGATTCAAACTTCAGCTTAGTCCTGAAATCGTTCTTTTTGAAGCATTTGGTATATATCTTTCCTGTAAATCGCCGGCAACTAAGCAGTGTCAAAAATAACTTTTTCTATATTCACATTTTTTTCTTTAACAACACTTTAACGGAACAGTTATTATTGTTTTCCATTATTGATAACTCTGTAAAATATAATAATAATAAAACAAAAAAGGAAATATTCGTATGTCTTGACCACAAAGGGTATGATTTCTCGCATGTTGATTAGCATAATTGTACGATCAAAATAACTGTCAGGGGTAGTTGAACACAATGACATAGTATTCTGTATTGTAGTATTGGAGGACACTCGGGAATTGCTGTCACCAAATTACGTTGAAGTGATACTCAAACCTCGGCTCACACTAGTGGGCAAAAAGGGAAAGAAAAACAATTGAAAATGAACATTTTTCATTTTTTTTTACTCTCTCTTTTTCTTTGTTGGTAAAACCTTTTTCGCGGTTAGTATTAAAAACTCTCATAAACTCTTTTATTATATCTTTGTATTTATTTTGGTTTAAACACCACATAATATCTGCTTTTCTACTACACATAATATGCAATATTTTGTTTTAGATATTGCCGCTTTTCAGTATTTCTATGATATAATATTATAATTTGTTATGAAACAATTTTATTGATAAGCTGAATTGCTTCAAACATTATGAAATGAATTATTTTTAACTCAAATGTGTGATAACTTTATATTGGCACTATAAATAGTAACTACTCTAATGAGATAATTTCCAATGATCCGTTTTAACATTGCGCCCATCGTTTATGAAATAATGCTATCATTAAATAAATAAACATACGATGGTATATCTCATCCGACAAACTGAGTCACGTAGTTCAAAATGTGTAATTAATGCCCCTTCCTGAGTATAATAATTAATTTTCAAAAAAGAGTATAGTATAGGTAGTACTGACGTGCTGCAGTGAAGCTCGATATAGTAGGTTTAATCGGTATGTGTCCGATTTGTCAAAATTGTATTTTTGATGGATTATGATTTATAAAATCCCCCATCGGTCTTTTTTAATCCCATGAAACAGCATGTATAGGTACAACGAAAAAGTTTTAATGCTATATAATATTTATTATTTTATAGCACACCTGTGATTTTTCTATTTTATTGATATTGTAGGAGTACGTTGTCTACAAAATATCTAGCACCGACATTACATACTCATTGTTGATTAATAATTGAAAATTGAAACAATGTGATGGGTTCTGTGTACTGTACAGTTATGATATAATTCATTGATAGATATGTAGGTACTTCACCTGATACATTGGTTAAAGTGACGTAAGGCGTCCTTCAATACAATAAAGTATAAACTCGGTTTGATCGACCTTGCGTAATCATTTGAACTGGTTTATCTACCTGTTTATATTTTTTCGTATGTTTTATTATTGTGAGTATTTACAATTATTTTGTCCCGTATAATGAATGTTATCGTTTATAATTAACCTATGCAAAATATGATTAATTCAACCGAGGACATTGAATATAAATACAAGAACATCGTAATATTTATTTTTTTGCTTCAGTTATTATTGGCCAATTTTAACAATGTTGCATTTTGGCTAAGCATGATTTGGTAATTTAATGCTAAATGTACTCACTCTAAATAAAACATGCATTGTAATTTGTATACAACTGCAGTGTTCCTACATTAGTACGACAGTTTAAAGTTAGTGTAGAACGTGGAAGTAAAATAAAATTAGACTTATTGTTTAACAATGGATATAAATGTTTAAATAAATAAAAAGTAAGCTCAATGTATGTAACACACTTAAAGCATTTAATAACAAATGGCAGTAAAGATAAAATCGATTTAGCGTGAGCCAAATGAGTCATTGAATAAGAAAAAATTACTTTCGTCGCCAAATCATTCAATTAGTTGAGTTGCAGTTACGATTCTGCTGACAAAAGTAGACGACATTTTTCTATTGGCACATTTTCAACTGATACAAAACAAGACATGGTAGAACAAAAATGTAACCAACTAACAGCGACCGTTTGTCAAACCATGCATTTATTTGATAAAAATTATATCTAGAATAAAATTTCAAGATAGATTTTCTATTATCAAATTATTATAATCATTGCTGTAACATGTAAATACAAAAAGAAATATTCTATAATATTATTAATAGCTAACCAAAGAAAGGGTATTTTACATTTCAGTTACAATTTGTTAGATTTCACATTCTTTAACCTCAAAATATACTTATTATGCTTTTTGAATTTTTCTAGCTTCCTCTTTCTTCTTTAAAAATCCAAAACAAAAATCAAACAAGGAATTATTTTATTTGTATGAATAGTATTTTCATATTAAATGTACATTAATTGAACATCAAAATACAATAACACTTTCAGCTATACAATATACATTTATATTTCATAACTTATTGTTTGATAAATATGAAAATAATATGGTATAACATAATCTATTACCATTTATTTTTATTAATAGTATTATGATAGATGGTTACATATTATTTATTTATTAATATTTAATTGTATACTTAGACATTTTATAATGTTAATAAGCCATGAATCTACTTAAATACTTAACAAGTTATATGTACCTACTGACTACTCGTATAAGAAAGCTAGGTATAAACGCAGACGATTTAAAAACACAATTAAATTAATATTCTTATTAACAGTGGACATCGAGCTATATATTAAATAGGTACACTAATATTAAACATAGATAAATATTAAAATTTAAAAATGTTTTTAAAAACCTATTTTCCATTATCAAAATTAAATAATAGTATGTTAAGTAAAATATGTTTAGTACATATTTAAAACATGTTTTATTCATTAAATATTTTGTTCATTATTTATCCATTTAGAAACTCTGCTATGACACTTTTATGTAATTGAACTAAATTTCGGTTTATTTAGGTATATTATGTAGAATTTTCGATTCAATCGTAAAACGACTAAAAACCCTTAGTTTTCTATCAGAAAAGTGAATTAAATTTTGAAAAACAAGATAAATATAATTTAATTTTCCTCCTTATCACCTATAGACTATAATCGTATTATAATATTTTGTAATTTAAATTAGTTAATACAGAAATGCTTATTAAAAGCGTATCATTTATTATTATTCGTACTAAAAGAAATAAGGATCGTCTATCATATTATACTTACTTTTTTTAAAATATAATTTAAATTTCTTTTTTTAATTATTTTATTGTGATGGAAATCGGGAATGAATAAATAATTGTTTTTACAGTTCGATGTTAGTTATATAACTCTGATATTGTACATAATACATATTGTGTTTGCAAATAACTAATGAATAAAATTAATATCATATTTACTGATGCCTTAAAATGATTTATTTTATACAAGCACGTTAAAATATGCATCCAACTTAAAGTTTAATTTTATATTTGTATTGTTTTTGACGTACCATACATTTTAAACTTTCGTAGATATCAGGTATCAGTTGATATTGTTTTACTTTTATCCCTTGAATGCGTATACACTTATTGTGTAGTCTGTACCTACTACCTACCTATAATTACATTGGTCTGTTTCATTTGCATAATTTTTGCACAAATTATGATTGCGTCACATGAATTGTAAATGATAGCATTTACTCGTTTAAAATCATTAAATGAACTCACATTTTACTCTTCCTGTGATTTTTATCATTTTTAGCATTTTACCATTACATTAGTAATAACCTTACATATTATTCCTAAACTGCAACTATGAGGATTTATTTACCTCTATAATGTCATTTATTCCAGCTAGAATTTCTCTACATGTTTTTGCCTATTTTAATAATAAATAACTATATTGATTCGGAGCTTTTTAAATTTTTAATTTAAGAGTAGACAATAAATCTACATCACCGTTTTTTATGAAATTTCGCATAAAAACTTACTTTTATTAAATTCTCCATTCGAAATATTTAATAAAATTATTTCGCTATAAATACCATATAGTGAATAAAAAATATACCTAAATCAATTTACACACGCGTCGATTAACAGCATTTCTTGTACCGTTTGTCGTTAAGAAGATTTATTTTGAGATTTTAAATCGAATTAAGATGTGGTGATTGGCATCGTGATCGCTGATCTGTAATGAATATTTTAGTTGGAGGCATATTAAAAGCATGTAAGCCCAAAGTCCAATGTTTAATTATTAATTTTCAATTTAAAAAATGTAATTTATGTCTTATTAATTAATTATAATTAAACCAGGAATATTATAATTTCCATACAAATTACTATGTATTTTATTTTCATCAGCTAGAATACAAGTTTATCGATAGTCATCATGCTGAAAAATAATTCTTATAAAAACAAATAGCTGATGTATAATAAACTGTCTTTCTAGTTTCTAGTAGTGATTTTAGTTTTATAATAGCATTGAAATCATTGGTTTTTTTTAGTTCTATAATGTAGTTTTTTGATGATTTTTTTTCTTAATCTCTCTTTTAATATGTCTATGTAAGTAGTATTCGCATTAATAAGCAACTTAAGGTTGAAGAGTCATAATTTGATTACGATGACGCATCATCGATTTAAAATTATAAATTACAACACCTTTCTACTCTAATAAACGTATACAAGTGGCCAATTCATAGACAGAGGACTTATTCATAATATATATTATATGATTTATAGAATTATTTTTATGTTTAGTGTAAAATTGCAAGAATCATACCAAATGTAAATTGCCAACGTCATAAAATGAGTATCTACTCTATAATAGTCCATATAGAACATAAAATAAATAATGTTTATGTGTATGTATAATATAATGTATTCGATTATTTGTATGGTTTTACTTTATACATTTTTAGCTTTAGCTATCTAAATGAATTCATTTCAGAAACAACTGTAACTCAGAAATACCTATCTATTTCAAAAATTCGTTCTCTTTTCTCAATATTGACAATAATATAATATAAAAAATATTATTATACTTAAAAACCAAAACTATCAATCCCTATGTCGCATTTATAGTATCCACGTGTGTCAATACCGATGTCGTAATAACCAAAAAGCGAATCACGAATGCAGAAATACTCAGACGATTTACGAATATACTTCGACTTGCGTTCAAATTGATTTCAACTTTAACCCCAATCGCGTTTTGAAAAATATTATTACCTACATCACAACGCACTACATTAAATTATTATTAAAATATTGTTTGATTACAGTTTCCACAGACAAGCCATTGGTTTCGACCACCACCAGACGGCCAATACCCCATGTCGAATGTACACTGAGGCAACACACTTGCGGCAATGGGAAATGTGTACCACTAGCGTGGACGTGCGATGGGGATGACGATTGCGGTGATAACACTGACGAGCAGCCTGACATGTGCAAAACAGGTAAATACTGACGCAAAACCATATAAAATTATTGTTAATCGGAAAGACATTTGACCTTCTGTGTGAGGTAGTTTGAGGTTTTTTTTGAAAAATTATAAATGGTATTAAAACAACATTATGATATAAGCTCAAGTTCACAGGCCAAATCGTTAAACTGGACGATTAAAAAACTAATAAATACTGCAGGCACACGCATTGTATCCCTATAACCTACTGCCACACTTTATTTACGTTTATGACTATATCGTTATTGCTTTCTCGTATCCAAAGTGTGTATATTACTGGGTTGCGCTTAATTTTGATAATTATGCACATTCCACATTAATTTCGTACGTGCAATTTTCTGTATTACTTTCTAACGGGCAGGGGAAACTGGCCTGCAGGTTATATAATGACAGCCAAAACGGTCTACATTGCCTACTGCAGCTGTCAAGTGTTGTTGGAAGTCTTGTTACGCACGACTTGTTTACTTCAGTTGTATACATACCCAAGATAAATATGTATGTACTATTACTATAATATAATATAGTATTAAAGTAAATACCTACGTTTTAACTTTTAATACGACGCCAATAATTATTGTAGTAACAGCCAGCGGCGTCATTTCAGTTGTTATTAGAAAGAGGGCAAAAGTTTTGACCATACCACATAATCAGCTCACAATAACTTATATTTTTATCGTATAGTTCCCATCTTACACACCTATATTTTTTATAATTAATTTTTTAAAATAGCCTCATTTTTATGCTTAACAAAAGAGACGTGAAAAAGCTAATTGATTATGGTACCGATACCGCCGGTTACCTCAGTTTACCAACAATTTGGCTGTTCTTAAAATCAGACAGCGGCAAATGCCCGTCTTGCCCCCCTCAAATGACGTCACGTCACTAGAAAACAGCTAGAAAAGGGATTTGAAAATTATCATTATTATGCTATTATAGTCGACCATTTACCGATTGAAAAACGACTAGGTATCATCTGTATCCTGCAGGCACAACCGGCTAGTCGTAATCAGAATCAACTGATGGTAAACACAATCATCGAACGAATAATAATAATAGTCGAAGTTATACTTGGCCTTACCGTAGGTTATCGTATGACTGCGGGTGCATCTCTGCCAACGATATTCGAACGAAAACAACCCCGGTCCGTTGAAAGTTTAGTCTCGAAACCTCGTGTAAACCGATCTCCATGCCTAGGTATAGAATGTAGATTGTTGGCAGGGGTATGGACGATGTACTTGCGGATTTTCGGTTTTCGCAGGTTATAGGTTGGGTACATAATATTTCTTAATTTTCTGAAAGCTCCGGTTGCCGACGTGCGGCGAAAACCGCAATAATAATAATAATAATAATAACATTAAAGTATGCATTACCTGTAGTTAAATCTAGTATATTATGACGACGACGATACGTATCCGACCGATTACCGTTCGCGAGCGCCGCCGCGGGCAGGTGTGTTTTATCATCATCTTGTATTGTTATAATTATTATTATTATTGGTTATTATTGCGGTGTACCTATTATATTATTATTGTTATTATACCATTATGTTTAAATATTATTATTGTTGTAACGTCAACAATGCGACGCGCGGCTGCGGCGACGGCGAACGACGACCCAAAACCGGCAACGGTGACGGCGGCGCTACGCACGTGGTCGCTGATTGGTCAGCAACGGGTCATGTGATATGGCGTGATGTTGAATCGGCCGCGCGTATGTGTGAGTGTTCGAGTATGACGACGACTACTGCGACGGTGTAGTTTGTGCGTACGTATACAAAACTCGTGAGACCGGCGGCGGCGGCGGCGGCGGCGGCGGCTACGAGGAGACACATATCATTTTACACATACCAGCTCTGCATTTTTGCAACGAAATAGATATTAATTAATATTGGGGTAAAATTTATTTTTACAATACCTGCCGCTCGCGAGCCCTACGACGGTAACATTTTACTCATTTTAAAATTATTATTAAAATATACACGTAGGTATACTTATTCGGTGTACAAAGAGCGTTAATATTGTTATATATTACAATGTTGAACGCCTGTTGTTTTAATTATTATTTCTCGGAGAGACTAGCCGGTATATCTGCACTGCCTAAGTCGCCCTGCTATGACCCCGGCCTCACGAACCAATACGAAGATGTATGATATGTTTTTATTCGATCACTCTGTATGCACGTGCCAGTCCGTGCGGTTTATAATGCAATAATAATATTATTATTATAACATGCATAAATGCATTATTATCGTAAGTTATTTTATCGATTTTGACACGGTTGGGCTTTAGGCGCCTTGAATAACTAAATCCTATAATATTGTTGGTACACTTATCTATAGTGGAGGTCGCGTCGTCATCGTCTTCCCAACCGTAATCAGAACCACTACAACCAGTACCGCCGAAACCTAACAATCTAAATTCTAATCGATGTACATTATATAATAATAATATATCTAACTACATCGATAACAAACATCGCTGAGATTTGTTATTATTTTATTCTTCCGCTATACTTAAACACAATTTAAACTTCTACTACCAGTTGGTAGTACCCAAGACAAACGTCTGTGTCGAAGAGTAAGGTACATATAAATTAAATTATTGCTATTTTTTTTTTTTTTATTTAATTTGGTTTTGTATTTGGTTTCTACAGTATCCTATACTGCAAAATTAGGCTGACCAACAATCAACAATCCCCGACCGATATTGCAGTTGGTATACTACTATAATAATAATAGTATACTGTAGTGGCGTACATGCGGGGGTTGGGTGTAGGGTTACAACCCCCTCTTAGTATTTTTTACTATATTATCTATAGGAGAATACAATTTTTAAAATATTTTGATATATAGACATAATAATAAGTATTACACTATTACATAATAGACATATAATTTTTTATACAACCCCTCCCATTGAAAATATCTTTACGCCACTAATAGTATATACGTGTACCTACAATACATAAATATTATAATAAATAGGTACATGTTTTTAGACAAATCTTATCGTCTTACGAAATATCAAACAAGAAATATAAGTTACTCGTCCGGTACAATATTATGTGTAGTATTATGTATAATGTAAAATGCTAGGAAGCAGTTTTCGTTTTGAATACAATAAAATTGATTTTAAATGTGACCGTCTCATTGTAAAAAGCCGGTAGTAAACGACCTCGGATTCTAAGCCAAGCAAGTCGATTTTTCTCTATAACATGTTTTTAAAAAAAAACATAGTAAGTAAAGGTATTAAGGAACAATTTTTTTTGATTTAAAAAAATAATTTAGGTAACAATTTGATGTATACATATTTAAATCAACATAGTATTTAGTCACATTTGTTGTGTTTTCGATTTCATTATTTTCATTTTATTCACATAGATTCTTAAATTCTTTGAGAATTGTGCAGTTTGGTGCTTGACGATCCGGAAGTAGGTGTTAATTTAAATTACAAACACGTTAATTAATTATAATGTATTGTAGCTTTGTTAGAAATTTAAAAATGTAATTATCAGAATGCGATTATTATATAATACGCTTTAACGGCAAAAAAAATTCACCCCAAAAAGTATACCCGATATTATTCTGAATATTATGATCTCCTCCCCACCAATTATTGATTTTTTTCTACGTCAAGTAGATTTATGTGTTACCGGCTACCTGTAATAGTCTCTATTGACCACTCGATAGATATTTTACAATACATTATCAAATAATTATTGTAATAACAACGTATTATTATCATCGTATTATATTTGACTACCAAGTACCAAGGTTACTTAAACGAATGTACAATATTATGTAAGACACGAATCTTCTATAGATAACGTTTCAAAAAAAATCGTGTACCTATATTGTATTATTGTCTTTTAAATACATTTTTTGTTCTTGTTCTTGTAATGATATGATTGACCTAAGTTGATAGGTAACAATATGAATAATAACTTATATAATATGTAATGAAAATAACCGACGGAGATAGAAATAATAACTCGTCGATTCACGATTCATTCATTTTTGTACGCATTGTCTTCAAGAAATCAAATAATGTGAAAAGGTGTGGGTTTAATGAGGCATTGCAGGCATTCCTGTTCCTTCTATAACGAGTAGATCTGACGCCTCTAGTTTTCCTCTGATGAATAATTAAATCCTCTGTAGTACGGACCCACGTACGTGTGAAATTGTTTGGCTATTAACGACGTGTTAATCCGTGTGTCTAATTGTTTAACACCCCCCAGGTTCTATTTACGTCGTAGGCATCTGTCTCGTTTTGACATTTTGAAAACGATTATGCGATAATATAATTATAATAGTATGATATGATTAAATCGAAGTTCTTTCCAAACTAGCAAATATAAATTTTAGTATTATATAAACTTTAATTAAAATATTAAATACATATCACTCTAAAAGTTTTTACATTATTTAATCGGACAAGTACCTATGCGAGCGTTCACGTATGTTTAAAATTATGCACAAATATTATGATACTAATAATTTAATATCATATATGTATTATGTTATCAAAGGAACATAATATTATGTACATTAATATTTTATTCATGAAGATTTTTTTTTTTTGATGTATACTGTACGTCTGTACCATGATTCCTAAGCCTAACCCTTAGAATTCACAGACGACTAACAATTATGCTTAAAATGAAGTAAGTATATTAGTAGAGCATATTTTGTTTCTTCAAATAGTTAATATTACAATGTTAAGTTTTCGGCAACTTAATTTATGCTGCATTAAATTCTTTAATTTTTAATTTTTCTTACATCTACTTTCTTGAAAATACTTAATCAAACCAAGTGACTGTGTAATGTTCTTAAATATTACTTTTTATTTTTTCATTAGTTTATTCTTAAGTAACTACTAATTTATTTATTAGTTTGTTCTTTAATTATCACAAATTATTATGTCTTATAATATGACCATAAAATAAAATTAGATAATTTAATTAAAAAATCCAAATGCTTAATTTTTAAAACCTGCAGCCTTTATGATAATATTATTGTTTATTTTATAATGTGCTTTTCTTGTTTAACTTAATATAGGATTACAAAATTCTAACATATATATGGACATTCAAAATCCTTTGAATTTTAAATTTGAATATCTACTAAGGACTTTGAAATGTATGAAAAGTTTTTTTTTTTAAATTAATATTTATGTACCTAGTTTCAAATGAACATCTATATAGGTATACTTTTTGCCATATATTAGCATATTATATTCATAATTCCTTTGATGATTTTGACTTATGTGACTGGTCGTTGACACGTACTTTATAAAACGGCGAGATTTGCATTTTGTATGACGTTTTTTTAAGTTTTATCCAAAATATAAGTCACGGGGCTAAAAATATACTTTGTAAGTTGTATGTGCAAGACTGTTTTTGAATACCTATACATGGTAATGTCGCGTTTTGAATTATTAGTTTTTCAGGAAAAGTTTAGAAGAAGTCATCTGTATATACGTGGAATGTGAATATATATTCCATGTGCTATATATTGTCTTAAAACGTTTTGTTTTTATACCTTTTACGTCTCAAGGATCTCGCATAGACGTATAAATAGTATCCTATTCGAAATTTGAATATTCTTGTATCGACTCGGCACGGACGTTTACCCAGCGCGGCACTTAAATGGCTACGATTTAAAAATATTCCGAGCCCCCATTGATCGGTGATATTGGCGTCCGTTCAAAAGGGTCGGCGAGCCATTGGCTTATATTGTATACCTTGTGTATAGTCGTAAAGGCCCCTCGAAATAACTCGCGGAAAGAAGTTCCTCTCGATTCACAGAGATATAATCGTTTGTAATTGTGTATAACCTAGGTCAATACGACAACACTTTACGTTGAATGAAAATTATATGTATTATAAATGTAGGTACTTTATTTCTGCCAGTTGTATAAAAAACAACAATTTATTTTTTTGTTTTGTTTTGTTTCTCACCAGCCCCGGTTCTTAGAACAATTAAACCACAATTTATGACTTTTTTGGTACCTATTGTTGGGTTGTATATATATAATATATATATATGCGTGTGTTTTTTTTAGTACCTATACATAAAAAAGAGACCGATTTATATCTTCAGGGAGGTTAAAAAAAAAAATAAAAAGGAATAAAGAAATGTTTATTCAACCGCATATATTTCATGTCTAATCCCACGTTGGGCAGCCGATAAACGTATTCATTCTTTTTACTATATGCAGACAGTTTTTATCTGTTTTGTCGAGGCTTTGCTATATATTTCACTGACGCAATCTCGATAAGTACAAATAAACAAGGTGATTTTTGAACGAAGCATTCACGGATCTTATGGTAATTTTATGCCTATCTTTTAGCGCCTTTTTAATATAGGTGGATAAGTATAATCGATAAAATATAATTAATATCTTGTCAAATACCTGATGTCTTGCGTGCATGTTTATTACAGTTTTTAGATGAGCCGTACCTATGAACATTTTCAAAGTATTTTGCATTAAACAATGTATTTTATAATTAATATGTTTATGCTTGTAAATATGTAAATATTGTATACACTGCAATACATTGTTTTAAGAAATATAGTGATAAATTGTATATAATATAATAAATTTAATTAATATAGTACGTACCATCCCGCAGGTTGGAAACCAATAAACAACGTCTATACTTTTTATAACAAATTTAATACTCTTAAAGAAAAAATAAAGTATAGCTGAGTTTCTTTTGAAAAAAATACAATTACAAACGATTAAGTATAATTAGATTTGTAACAAAAATCGTTGCTTTTTTAATCATTATCCGTGTTATATTAATTCAACAGTATCGAGTTTTTGTGGTTTGGGTGTATTGTACACGCTTGTTATGCGACGTTTATCAAAATGTATATTATATGAACAGTTACAACTCCTAGTAAAATTATTACTATTGGTATAAATTTGTTCGGTCCAGTAAAATACAATATGATACACATGCATCATGACTCCTATTTATCGGGTACATCGTGTTATTCGTGTGATTTTCAACGACACGATGTGTGTAAACTGTTTGGGATGGAAAAATGTTCGTTCAACAGATAGTTGTAGATACACAATAAACATTATGTACATTGTACACTTACATATAAATTTCCGATTTCAATTAAAATTGCATTATCTGTACTACAATAAACACAAATCACAAAATCAAAAATACAAACTGAAATTATACCGGGAACTTAAATATATTAAATCAATGATAGTCATCGCATTTTAAATAATCATCTAAGCAAGATTGATTCACCATAAAATTATCACTGTTTATTGTTGAAATTAGAGACTTCCCAACAAACAGAATCATGAACGATATTAAGCCAATTTTTGTTCCTCTCTAAATCTAAAATCTGTTAGAACTTTATCAAAATATAGATCGAAACCTTAATCTTATAATCTATACGCACATCATATGTACATTACGTTATCACCCAGTAATTATACTACTGTAGTTCAAGGACGTATACATAAGTGATCGACGACGGTCAATAATATATACAATTGACAAATTATTTGAATAGAAATTACTAAGATCTGCTCAATAGGTCAACCACAAGTCCACAACGTTCGACAGTAATATTTAACGTTATCGTATAAATAGATTAAACAAAAATTAACACCAATATTTATAGTGAGGCATATAATCTGCAAAGCTTGGTTTGACCCAAAAATAGTCACCTAACTATAAATATGTGTGACACTGGTTATCTTCGTCGTTTTTCTCTATTTTCTAGAAAACAACATATTATCGTTATGTATCGTGATTACGAAAAAACAAATTAATATTTTGCATCCTATTCCAACTCACTGATCGTTTGATGTAAGTGTCTAGGAGGTAACTCCGAAAATGTTTCGGCAACTATATAGCATCGGGAAGGTTTATAATAGATAAATTCTATTTGTTATGTACATAAAATGTATTCTGTTGTGTTTTATTATAACGATATACACTCATTACTCACTAAATTGATGGTATAATAACATCTTAGCGCGATATCAAGTGAAAAGTGTATATTATTGTTATTTTATGCTGTTGCTGAAGAGCATATTATATATCATGCACGTTATAGTAAATTGTCACGCAATCCATTCTGACATTCTGTTACAGTGGCTTATCAAATATGCGTATCTGGTTGTTATCGTGCTACCTGTTTTAATTTAACCTTTGTATTCCGCACCGACTGCACATGATATATTATATTGTACCGGTATCCAATACCCCATCGTTGGATCCCTTAATGGGCCGCCGGACCCGTGGTGTATAATAAATGAAAATGTTGGGATTTATCTCAAAAATATTGCATTTTTATTTATACAATGAAAAATATAATCGAAAAAGTAATAAAACCAATGAGAATGCAAATCTGGATAGGTAGTATATTGTATATAATATGGCATGTTTGGGGTACCTTCATCGTACATATTATTTTTTATCAACTATTTAACCGGTGCGCAGTCTTTGTATACCAGATATTATTTGAAATAAAAAATGTATCCCACGGTTTTTTTGTTGAACCGCGGTCAGTGTTTCAATATAAAATACAAAATTAATTCTCGATTATCAAACGTTATTTGGAACTCGTAATTTTGTTAGTTTTTTTAATGTTCTTAAAAAAAAAAAAACGACATCAAATTCAATAATATCATCTGTGGTAGTTTATCTCCAATAAATAAATACATTTACCACTTAAAATCAAAAAAAAGTTTTTTTTTTGTTTTTATGAAATGTGGATACCGGAAATATTGTAAAATTGTACGTATTTAAAAAAATATTAATTGTTGAATGATATGTATCAACAATTAACATATTAACACAAATATTTTAGAAATAAAAATATGGCGTGAACGTAAAAATATTATTACATTACGACTATAATACAATGTAAGTTGTAGGACGTAGACATAATATCATAGCTGCAGACATTAAACCGATTTAAGACTGTTTTATGCGGTTGGACAAATTATTTCCGGAGTTTCCAGGGTCACGTGTTCATTATGGCTGTCGAGGAGTGTATATTGGGAAGCATATTATACTGATATACGGTGCTGTTCGGGTCTCGAAATGGTTTATAACCAACGAAGCCACCTCTCAGGACCCTGCAGCTCAACAATACCAGTGTATATACCGGTAAACGCACAACGCATTATGGAGGTGTTAAACTACTACCCGGTAACGGGCAATAAACCCCTAAAAGTCCCCAACACTCGGACAGGAATCTTGGCTTTGTGCTTGAGCATGACGTACACTTAAAACTTTATTTCCCATCGAATCAAATCTTCACGGGTTTTCGTGCGAACACCGCACAATATGTACCGCGGTCGCCGTCACACGCTGCTCACGAGATTATTATACCTAGGTAATCTACCTACCTATGAAATGAGCAAAAAGCTTTCTAATTCTCAACGCTTTCGGTAAAATATTTTTACCCGGAGCTAAAATATTTATTATAAGTAAATAGGAACTTACCTACAATGCTTTGATATATTATGGTAACTGCGCACCAA